TATGTTCTCTTTTCTGCTGGCAAAATTTGTTGTGTGGAAGAAAATGTATAAAATTTCCGGATACAAAGGAAAAAAGTTGTAAAAAATTTTAGGATTCGCTGTCTTTCAAATTTTTCTTCTTTTCGACTTCTATTTCTTACGGATTCTTTCGCATGATTCTTTTCTCTCAGAAGAACCATTCGCTGGTATGCACACACAGTGAGTATGACAAGTAACAACCGAAAAAATTAATTCAGGTGGTTGTAAAGTAGCCCCATATGGCGGATAGCCGTATCACAGTTCCGGTAGCTACTAGTAATCTTGGAAATCCTGACAATTTTAGGATCTTTCCATTTTAAATGCAAGTTAATACTACATAGAGTGTTCTTGCAGTCACCTCGTCCACCACTGCGAAGCAGTGCAGCAAACAGTATTTGCCGCTCGTAAACGCTTCTCGAGCAGCTCCAGCGACAGCGGTAACAATGCGAACAGTGATGGCAGCAGCAGTAACAGCGGTAAGAACTTCTCAAGTATCAGTAATGATAATAACGAGAACTGATGGTGATGTTGATGGCGATGACTGCAGTAATAACGATGGATATCTTCGGGGCGCGCCGTTCAACTATTCCATTGCGTTAAATTCGGCGATGAAAAGCAGCGTGCAGGATGAAAATTTCTATTAGCAGTGATGGGCTATTGGTGGAAATGATTTTGAGTTATTACAGAAATTTTGAGTCAAAACGAGTCCAATTTTTCACTTTTCCTGTGGAAGGCATTCGAGAGTAGCCCGAGTGGTAGCAATTTGTCAAAAGCAATTTTTCATAACTTCCTTCTCAGGAACTAACTGGGGCGCAGTGCTGACCAAAACTTGCCAAAAATACTAACAGTCTGTCTGAGCATTTGTGTACAAAGGTCAAAAAGCAGTCGAGGAAAGGAGAGTGTTGAAAAATGCCAATTGGATTTATCAGCAAAGCTAATTGCGAATCCAACGTCAGTTTTGACATTGTTTCTCATTTCTCCATTAGAAGCCTTAAACTATCTACAGGTCATCAGGATGAGTTACAGTGGTCAAACCAATCGAATTAGCTAAAATTAAGGAGGGGAAAAAAATAAAAAAAACCATCTCCTCCTGAGATGCGTGCTCGAATACACATCCCATCACTGCTTCTCGTTTTTAATCGGCCAGTTCACTCGGTTGCTGTCTTCACTAACACGGTCCCATTAGTACGGCTAGTCCTCCCAGATCTGCTTTTCTGGGATGTATTCCGTCTTGCGGCAAACACGGCTATTAGACTTGTTCTTGAATCAGTCCTTATGCGTGCTTCGCCTCCAACTGTGCTAGACTTTGTTCTACCATTACCTTCTAACCGTGAACTAGCCACGCGTACGTCACTTCTAATAGCCTAACTTCAAGTGCGCCTAAAATGGGCCGACGTAGGTCAAAAACTGGGTCAAATTTCATCGGGCGATGCAATTAATTTCAATGTTCCCACAGAGTAGGGCTTAAAAATCCGCATTACGGAGCGCTTCTTGCGGAAGTTAAAGCTTCCAGGGTCGATTTTCTTAACTTACAGAATCCAAAGCGGCAAATTTGATTGGACCTCATGGTCATCATCCTGGCATTACTCTATGATGGATGACAAGAAGCGCCTGAAAATCAGCGCCTTAGACATGTGGTGGCATAACCTCACTTTTCAAGCAATTCGTGTTTGTATATGTGTGTGATTGTTAGGTCTCAGGTGCTTGTTAACTGGTTGTTTCTGCGCCGTTTTCTATAATCCGAAATTTTCTCTTTTTCTTTTTATTTTTATACTGATTCTTTTTTAAATAAATATAGCTTAGCAAATTCTAGTTTTTTGATTGTTTTTTAATTTTTGGATGGGAAGATCTTGCAGATCTAGGAGTTTTTAAGCTGTTTTTAAAAAGATAGGAATAATTTCATATTTTTCATATTTTATTTAATCGCCAAGCAGAATTCATATATATCAATGTATGCATTTATCATGCACTTGGTGTATAGAAAGCGAAACACAAAAGACTTCTGTCCTTTTAAAAACAGTTGAGTAAAAATTACAATTATAATGTTCTTTTTAAAAACTCGCAAGTCTATAATTATGATTTTAAAAGGATATTATCATTTGATTCCCTTCCAAGTGAAACAGACTTGTATAATTTAGTGCTAATGCTACTTGAGTGCTAAAAATCTAGATTTTTTTTTGTAGGAATAATTTCGACCATTCCTGGAAAAATAATGCTTTAATTTTGGAGTAGTTTTGAAAAAAGCTAAATCTTACGCCGGAATTTTTGAAGAGTTCTACA